GCAGAAACACAAACGTACTATAGATGTTATAATTGGTATAGTTTTAGTGTTTTACAACACCTTGCCAAAATTGAAGGAATTCTACTGTCATACAAGGTTTTAATTTTAATATTACCCAAAAAGGATTTTCAAACTAATGACGCATCTTTTGAACTGTATGTAAAAATCATTTTGCACTATATACAAACAACTCAGATTTCGTTTCCTTGATAGGAACGTCTCCATTATTAGTTAAGTTGTAGGTGTATTGTTTATGTTAAAAAAAAATAAACAGTGCTGTGACGGTTTAGAGCTCCACATTGTCGCTCACCTTTTAATACCAACAATAATCACATATTTTTGGGTACTCTCTAGTATGATTCTATCTTGTTTCTCGTACGAGCATAAAATAATGGAGGTGTGCTGTAAATACTAGAAAGGGAGAGTACCTATCAGCTTGTGATAGAACGACTGGCCTAGTATTTTCCACCAAATAATAATTTATTAATTTACAAGCTTCTAATACGTGATATTTCGGTCTAATGCTTGTGGCAACAAATACATTTTAAACATGTTTCAAATTTCTTATTGTGAAAAGAAGCCTACGTAAAAAAAGGAACAATATAATCCCCACCCACCCACCCTATCTCAATTGTAATTATTTTTTTAATCGTTGTCACACTGAGGGGCGGAGCGTAATTGCAAAAATTCTTATTTCTCCACAAGACATGCTTTTCAGTATCGTGTCGAAAGAAATCTATGGATACATATATTAAGAAAGAAAAAGTCAAAAAGTAAGCCCCACCCACCCGCCCCGATCTCAATTGTGACGAATTTTTTATTTGTTGTTAGACCGAGGGGCGGAGCTTAATTGCAAAGTGTATATTTCTCTACCAAAAATTACCATTTTAAGCATGTTTTATGTTTAAGTAAAATCCTTACTTTTCCACAAGAAACTTCCATGTGAAACATGCTCTTGAAGAATCGTGTTGTTCAAAGAAAAATATATATATTAAGTAAAAAAAGAGACAAGTATTAAGCCCCACCGAGGGGCGGAGCGTAATTCCAAAATTCATATTTCACTACAAGAATTTGCCATTTTAAACATGGTTTAAGTTTCTTGTTCTGAAAAGAAGACTACCTATATTAAAAAAATGTATAATTTCAAGAAAAAAAAAACTCACAAAAACCACTTTGGTGAAAAAGTTCCTTTTCTCACTGTTTTATGTTTTTCACAGCACGAGCACCAACTACCGCAAACTTATCTTTAGAAGAAAATAGCACTTCATTAAGTCTGATACTTAACAGTAGGTATCCGAAAATATTATTTAGACTCGTGTACTTGTGGTATGTGAATCCGTGTGGAATTTTCACCCTAACAGTTTAAATTTTGGTTTAACAAAGTCGAAACCGCAATATTATAGAAAGAAATCTTAATTCGTCAAAGGGTTGAACTATCCCAACACTAAAAGAAAAAGTCAAAATTACAAACTGAAAACCAAAAGTTTGAAGTAATAAATCAAAATTTTCAAATTCTAAATTTGGAGTTAAAGAAATGAAAATGTCAAAATTTTCGAATCAACTAAATCGAAATTTGAGTATAAAATAATTATAAATTTCAAGTGAACTTGTCAAGATTTGTCAAAATTAAAAAAAAATAACACGGAATATTAAAAATTAAACTTCGATCTGATGAGACTCGAATCACCAAAAATTTGGAGCGGGTAATTCTAAAATAAACCAAACTTTGGGAAATTTCGAAATCGTAAGTCAAAGTTTTCGCTTAATTAAAAAAAAATCAAGATGGCATGTTGAGACTTCGAATTGATCATACTAAAAACTTCGAGATAATGAATTGAAATTTCAAAAGAGAGACAAAAAACAGCGCAAAATTTTGACAGGTGGTTAAATTTCGAAATAAACACTTTAAATTTTGGCTTAACAAACTCGAAATCGCAAAATTATAGAAAGAAATCTTAATTCGTCAAAGTGTTGAAGTATTCCAACACTAAAAGAAAAAGTCAAAATTACAAACTGAGAAACCAAAAGTTTGAAGTAATAAATCAAAATTTTCAAATTCTAAATTTCGAGTTAAAGAAATGAAAATGTCAAAATTTTCGAATCAACTAAATCGAAATTTGAGTATAAATTTCAAGTGAACTTGTCAAGATTTGTCAAAATTAAAAAAAAAAACACGGAATATTAAGAATTAAACTTCGATATGATGATACTCGAATCTGAACCAGAATTTTTGCAAAAAAATTCAAAGCTGTATAACAATATTTTGCAATTTAACTATGAAACTGCCAAACCGAATGTTCTAAGATTTTGTAAACATTTTGAGGTTATCATAATCATGGTAAATCGTTAAGGAAAATTTATTCGTTTATTACCCCTCTGAAAATTGATGACGTCATCTTAAAATTTTGTTGAATAAATCCTCACTGAAATATGCAAAATATTATGACTGTACACTTGTGGTTTATCAACGTACAACGTATCATAGCTTTCAGAATTACTTATACAGGGTGACTTAAAAAATTAACGAAAGAGTCAATTTATTTTATTTATTAAATTGAGAACACACAACCGATTGCTTTGAAATCGTTTTAAAATTATCGTAAGCATGGTAAATTTTTAGTCAAAATCTGTTCACTCCCCAAAAAAATTCATGACATCATTCCCCAAATCTTGCCGAATAAATCCTATCCAAAATGTACAAAATATGATTAAATTATATTTGTGATTTCTCATTGCATCAAAAGTTTTTAAAATTGTTATACAGGCTGACTCATAAAAATTCATTAATGAATCAATTTATTTTATTGATTAAATCGACCTGCTTCATTTTCCCGAAAATTGGAAATACAACTGTTATCATTAGTATTAAACTTCACCTATCCAAAGTGATACACGTGTCTTTGCACAAATGTTGACGTCATCACAAAATCTTCTTAAGGAAAAACTCATTTGAAACGTACGCGCACCATGCTTCTTTATATTTACTTTAACGTTACATACATATCTCTATTTTCACTTTCAAGGGTTCTCATAAAAAAAACATAAAATTCGCGTAATCAAATTTTATAATTTTTCGAAAAAGCTGGATTTGTTTTATTGTACTTCCGGCGCGAGGGAAATTCTGTTGCAATACTCTTCGACCAATAAAAACTATAAAGAAAAAAGAAAAAAAGTATTAAAAATGTATCTACTGTAAGAAGTGTAACCAATCAATAAATTATAGCTGATGCTACTTTATTTAGATACCTTTATCATATAATTAAAAAAAAAGTAAATATTTACAAATTAATAATCCTATACCAAAAAAAAAAAAATTGAAGATAAAGTGAAAAATACGAGCATTATATTATTTCTGTAAGATTTTATCCAAAGAATAGATAAGAACGAGAAGATAAACAAAAACGCTAATCTTCAACAATATGTCATGGCCTGTAACAATAATAAAATAAAAATTTTTCGAAAACAATAAATCTGAGAAGAAGATTGATGAGGTTTCAAAAATATCTTTGAATAAATGTTTTTTTAACTTTAGAAAGTACTTTATAATTTAAAGAGAAGTCTTATTTTTTAACCTTAACTTATCTCTGAGCTGTTTTACAGATTTCAATAGCTTGACAAACAACAAGTAGAAATTTTAACAGTGCTAAATATTTTACAGTAATTTTCTATGTCAGACTCATAAATCACTTTATATACATATGTTTTTCGAAAATATTAATAATAACATCGTCAATCTTAGTTTTAGACGATTTTTTCCCGCGTCGAGAATCAGGCCTTATCATATCGGGTTTTTATAATTTTTTTGTTAAAAACTGCAAACTGGACATGTATATAAATATGGAGGTCCTCTGGACCCAAATTTGTTAATTGGAAATCTATTTTTTTAAAGCGATGTATCTTGTATTTTTAAAATACAACTTCTGAAACCGCGATGTTCTCCATGAATATTTAAGATAGGACGAAACCAGTCCAATCGCAAGCCTTAACATAATACTAATTCTTGAGAAAACGAGCATCGTTAGCACATATATTTATGTTGGGAGAATTTTTCCGTAGTGACCTAATATATCTGTAGTAATTAGAAATACTGGTCTCAGTTTTTCTTCTATCCTCTGCAGTGAAAATATTATCTGTGAGAACGTGATTCAGACTTACCCGGAATAAAACGCGAAGACGTCTGTCACTTCACTAACTTTCAAACCTGATTAGCTAAAATCAGTTTGACACTATTGATTTTGCTTGTTGTTTTTAACAATTTCTTTACGTTTGTACGAGTAACTGACAATCGGAATCAGGAGATCTATATATGCGACTTTTAAAAAATGTGACTCGGATGGAAAGCTAGTAATTAGTAATTATGGAATCTGAAGCGTAATAGCACCGAGCGAACTTTTCATTAAACTGTGACGAGCATCTAATTAACTGTAAAATTACATAATTACCATCTTTTCTTAATTACAAGTCGAACCTACTTGATTATGGTTTGATTCTCTTGACAAATACAGTTCGTGCTCGTTCTCTCATCTTACGCTTCATAAGTGTAATAGTAAACGGTAAAGGCCATTTAGGCCATATTGAGCCGTTAAGTGAGTTCTTTGCTGATGGTTTAATGCCTATGATTTATCATTTAACAGACGTGCGGTGAATATAAACCGGCGGAAACGTTGCGTTGCCTCCCCTCGCGCCGCCATCGCGCTCCTTCAAACGGTCCACCCCTCCATTGTAATTTTGGCGGGAGTATTTATTAACCTCATCAAGATTTTTGCATAATATTTTATTTCCTCCGTGATTGGAATTTCTCGTCTAATTATCGAGCAGAACCTTCGCATGGCATCCAGCAAATCGATTTGATGATGGGTGGGATATAAACGATCGTTTAAATGGTAATCATTGTGGGAAGATAAACCGTTCAGCACGGCTCTATTTACACCTTCAAATATGACGTAATCTTGTCACCGTTCTTTCCCGTGCAGGAAAGACCGCTGTAGAAAGCAAAAGATTTTATTCCTTCACTCAATTCGCAACTAACAACTATTAAAGTCGCGGTGTTATGCCAGTTGCAAGAAGCACGCCGCGATTGCTGTCTCTGGTCTTCGTCGCAAGTGTCGTCTTTTGCTGTTGTTTGATTTTTCTTGGGGAGTTCGCGGACCGCCAAAGGGGTGGACGGAAGAAGAGCGATGACAGCGAAAACAGAAGAATTGTTGCGTTTTCGTTGATGAAACAAATCGAAATCGAGAGCGAGGAGTTTAATTGCGATGGGGAATTTTTGATCGGGGAAAAGCCGAAGGAGCACACCGAAAATCAAATTTGGACTAATCTGAAAGGGACAAATGTTTTCATTTATTCGGTTTACCATGACCGACGACTGTACCCTTACGAGTACTTAAGGATAATTGCCATGATTAAAGGTAAGCGTTTATTGTTATTTTTTTCTACAACAATTCTGTTATTACATAATCAAAAAAATTAAAAATTTGATTCAAAAACTAAAGGTAGACGAACTGCTCTCATTTAAGTGAACTTTTTAATGACGAAATGGAATTTCGAAATCAGTTACTAGTTTATCCACCCACTCACATCTTGATTGACCTGGTTTTATCGGCATTAGTCTGATTTGTAGTATTTATATTAAAGTAGAGCCATTATCAGTTGATTTTTTAATGAAGCTTTTTCGGGGCTATTTAGGTACTTGTAAGATTTTATCTTGTTCCTAAAGTTCATAAACCATTTTCAAATGATCATTCGTGCAAAGTTAATTCGAAATGTCTGTTTGAATATAAATGGAATCTATTGTGCACGAAAAATTTTTCACGGTTATCATTTTAGTCACAAATGAAGACTTCGGTATAGGATACGATCAAAAATAGATTCGATACGCAACAATAAGAATTAAAAAATGGGTTTTTTATATGGTAAATGATCTAGATTTGGAGAGTTGAATAATACGTAATAAATATGCAGACATTATCTGTGTTGAATCTGTTCAGTAAAGTTTTCAGATTTAAAAATTGTAGCCAATGTTTTTTTCCAAATTGTTTAGGGTAGTACTAGGTCACAAAAATACATAGAATATTAAAAAATAAATAACTAGAAAATTAAAAAACAATGGTTATGGACAAAGAATTCTTATCAATGTATTTAGTCAAAGATTCCGTAATGACTCCTGGGATATTACAATGTTGACTTTAGATAATGTTTAATAACTTTTAAATTAGAAAATTGTGTTCACCTTATGCTACGCAGCCACTGCTACTTTAAATTAAGTCTCAAAAATTAAACATTATCAAAAGCATCAGTCGAAGAATTTTTATGTACAAAATCTAAAACATATGTAGTTTCATTTTCGATTTTTTTTATTTCTTTCATTGGTTAATTTTAATTGCAAATCTTTATAATGGCTACAGTGCTTTAAAGCAGCGTTTTCTTCCCAGGAGTTTTAACATATAGATACGTTAATTGAATTTATCTAAAACATTTTAGGAAAAAAAAATTGGGTCGATATCAACCTAACTAGCATTTTATTTGCTGAACTTGGTATTTTTTAAAAAGATTCGTCCGTTCTTTTTCCTCTAAAAAATTCATTAGTTTTTTATTTCTTGATGTAAATTGGAAATTACGCATTACGTCATCTTACTTACATTAATAGGGTTACTTAGAAAGTTATACATATGAATACTGAAGATATATTTGTTCACCAAAAATAAATGATCTTTCCTAGTATATGAAAAACTAGATCCCCCGTTTCCCTTGTCTCTTGTCCGTCGTTCGTCAGGTCGTTTGTTGGCAAGTTATTTTATTAGACGGATAATTTCTGAAACTACTAGATTAATTGTTGTAAAATGTTAAATGTAAATTAAGATCATCTAGAGAACGCCAAGCAAAATTTGGATGATTATCCCCACCCAAAATTTGATGACGACATCTCAAAATAATATGCTTCTAAACTTATTATTATAATTTTATGCGGGTAGGTTTTCAAAAAAATTGAAAATGTTGCAAACGAATTTTATAATTTAACCGAAAAACTGTAAAACCGAGTGCTTTGAAAATTTGCACTTTTTACTGCTAATAAGTCGCTTTTTCATTCCTTGCAAAAACTCGATGACGTCACCGCAAAATTTTGTCTACTAAACTAAAAATAATGCATCATATTTCTACTAAAACATTTGCAGATTATAAGAAAAAAATTGTAAAAACAAATTTTACATTTTGTATCTTATTCCCAACCTCGAAGATCCACAGTGTTAAGATTTAAATAGTTTCTTTAGTATGATTATTAAAACTAGAATTATCACAATAGAAAGTATTTATAAATTTCCAATTTTCTTATTAACACACTGTTGTGTTGTACAGAATTTAGTTCCTTGTTCGGTCCAGCTGACATCGGGTGTCCAATCTAAGATTAATGAGTAACATTTTGCACTCTGAACCGTTTTAATTACGTTGCAAGCAGTAGAAGCAGGCCTCATATTTTTATTAATTCATTTTGAAACTGATAAATAATGGCTCAAATTTTTTGAAGATGAGTGTTTCTTATAATTTTTTTCTTGTTTCTGTAGTGATTATTTTTCATTTTTTAGTTAAAATTTTCCATTGTACAGTTAGAACAAAGAACAGAGTTTCTCTTTGATGGAATGCAAATATGTTTAGTAACCAACATCATGATCCCATTTTGCATTAAAAATAAGACGAGTATTATTATGAAACTGAAAATTGTCTAACAAAATTATTTCTTGGAGAGGTCCAACTTCAAAGTTATAACGTTCAGTTCAAAAATAGTTTTCCTTGATGCGTAAACCAGGTACTTTAGTCGTTTACTGAGATGTTTACAAATAATACAAAAACTGGTCTAAGATTATTTAGACAGAACTTCCCTGGCTCCTGAAGTGGTCCAACAAATCCAATTTCGTCGAAAAATTATAAAATTTGATTTTGTAAAATTGTATTCATTTTATAATCCCTATAAATTAAAAAAAATGTAGATAATACCTACCACAGTCCCACAGTTTAAGAAAAACAGTGATCCATCAGATAGGGTTGTTCAATAATGGAATTTTGTTTTTGGGACATTTAGATTCCTCGGCTAAAAACTCAAGGTGGATTTAGAAACCACAGATACAAGACTATGTTATTTTACTTGTGTATTAAGAAAAATACTTTCTGATTTTAAAATATTTTATTGTGTGATACTACAACACGTGTTTCGGTACACAGTACTTTATTACTGTCCGTTATTGTCATTGGTTTAAGTCATAAAACTTTTACTAGATATAAAGTCAAATGAACTTACTGTATTGCAATAGAGTCCATCAGACGAATGGCTATATCCATGTTTTCTGGAGGTGTCATAACCCCTACATTACGAAAAAATAGGTCCGTCTGTTTGTCTGTGTGTCTGTCTTGGAAAGTACTGGACCGATTGTTGTCCAATTTTATATGCTAGTTATGAATATTGTGTAGGTAAAAGGCTAACCAAACTTTGTCATCCCTACCAACAATGTGATGACGTCACATCAAAATTGTAGATAATCAGCGTGTTTTAAATTTTACAAAATAACACGGATTCATAAGCTACACGTGTTGCAGGTGTAGTTTATAATTCTGTATTGAGTTTTATTCAAGATCTCCAGATTTTTGAAAAAAAAATCAAAGTTTTACAAAATTTAATTTTGAAATTGCAAAACCGAATGCTCTGACGTTTTAAACTTTTAAAGTTATCGTAAGTATGGTAAAGCTTTAATCAAATTATGTCTGCTCCCAAAAAATTGATGATGCTATCTCAATTTGCCCAATAAATAAAATGTGTAAAATATGAAATATTGTTTAGAACTGCTTATAAGGAATGGTTCAAAAAAATTAATAAATAAGTCAGTTTATTTTATTGATTAAATTAGGAACGGCTTATCCCATTTTTCCAAAAATTTGAGAATAGAATGCTGTTAATATTAGTATTACACTCTACCCATGCAAATTGATATTGTAAAAACGTTGATGATATCATTACAAAATTTTATAATGGAAACACTCACTTGATACATGCACATAGCCTGCTTATTTAACTTTCCTTTGAAATTCCCATAACTTTATTTTAACTTATAGAGGTTATCATAAAAAAATCTGAAAATTAAGTCTTACAGTTTTTCGAAAAAGTTGTATTTGATGTACTTCAGGGGTGAGAGAACTTTTGTCTAAATGACTAGACAGATTTTCTTCACCTTCTAAATTATCATTTGTTGATTTTGTGCAGTCTGATATCACGCAACAGAAAATCTTGACTCTTGATTAGCAAAGACAATTCAAGAAAATGTAACAAACTTTACTAAAACAGCTAGGATAAATGCGATTACTGATTTTATTTAGAAGTAAATCTATTATTCACCAGAAAAAAAATTGGTCGAAGGAAATTTATTTCAACAGAACTTCCCACCCTTTTTTGAAAAATTATAAGATCAGAATTTGCTGTTTGTTTTGCCATAACCTCTATAAAGTAAAAACCGATGGCATAAATAACACTCTCGCAACCCCTGCACCGTAGGGGTGCAAACTGCACAAGTACGGACAATGTAAAATATATTTAAAGCAGATAACCAACTGGAAAAAATGGCCTCCCAGCAATAATAACAAGCTTTCTTCCAATGTATAAACAAGCACTTGAAATTTCTTGTTTATACATGGGAAAAATGTCACGTAGAAATTTGTTTTAATTTGAATGAATTTGTCGCCTCAAAACAGGAGACTAAAATTGTTGATTTAGCCACTGTCGAACAGAATGTTCTGAATATTATTATTTTTTTTTATTAAATAAAAACGGGCGTATTCTCACCTTTTCGGGATATATTACGTTAATGGTAAACTGTTATCATACTGTGCATTATGTTTTTGCGAAAATTTGGACGATTAGGGAAAAAACTCCAAGTGGATTCATGCACCACCCGTATATCGTATATTGTATAACAGTTGAAACAAATAAACATAGAATTCTTTGAACTGACGTCATCAAATTGTTGGTGGGGATAATTAGCAAAATTTTGGTTTAGCGGTTAACCATTTACATGATGTTTCTAATATGCATACAAAATCTGACAACAATCGGTCTCCAGCAGTTTCGAAGATTACGTGTCTAATAAAAATGGACACAGACACCAGACAGACAGACAGACAGACAGACGAACGGAAACGGGAGATTACGTTTTTCGTACTGAAGGGATCATGAAACGTCTATAAAATATAAAAGTGGTCAATCGTCCGATCGACTCGATTACTATACTTCCTAAGCTTATGCTCGGGAAATAAAAATTATGAGTAAACTTCTATTTTAGACACTCGTTGGCAATCAAATGTATTTTACATCCACCGTATTATAACTTTTTATAGTAATAAAGTACATATTTAAATATGTGTTTTTGTT